GCCTCGGACCCTGCGCGCCGGAGCAGAGCAGCTGGAGCCGGGGAGGAGAACTGCCCAGCCGGCGGCTCGGGGTCCGGAGGCAAGGGGGGCTACCCGAAGCCGGTAGCGCTGGCTCGGGCAGCTTGGCTCTTAAACAGAGCCGAAGTCTGAGTCCGGGGAGGAGCAGAGCAGCTGGAGCCAGGGAGGAGAAGTGCCCGGCCGGGGGCGCAAGGTTCGGAGGCATAGGGGCTGCCCAAAGCCCGAGTGCTACTAGCTTCATGGTTTTCCGGGCAGCCTCCAGACCCTGCGCCCCCGGCTGGGCGCTTCCCCTCCTGGGCTCCAGCTGCGCTGGGGAAGCGCCGGCCCGGGGCGCAGGGTCTGGAGGCTGCCTGGCAAACTGTAAAGCCGGTAGCGCTCGGGCAGCCCTTTTCGTGTGGCTGGGAGGGAGGAGGTGGAGTTAGGACGGGGACTTTGGGAAAGGGGAGGGAAAGGGCGGAGTTGGGGCGGGGCCGGGGGTGGGAAAGGGGCGGGGCTAGGGCCCATGGAGTGTCCTCTTTTTTTATTTTTTAAATGTGGTAACCCTACCATTGTCTGGGAACCACAGCCAAAATGGGAGCAGCAAGGGCGGCACCTGTGGACAGTGCAACAGGGCTGCCTGGCTGCAGCTCGGCATAGGAGCTGGAGTGGGGGACATACCGCTGCTTCTGGAAGCTGCTTGAGGTAAGCGCCACCCAGAGCCTGCATCCCTGAGCCACCCCTCCCCCCGCATCCTAACCCCCTGCCCCAGCCCTGATCCCCCTCACGCCCTCCGAACCCCTCGGTCCCAGCTCAGAGCATCCTCCTGCACCCCGAACCCTTAATCCCCAGCCCCACCCCAGAGTCCACATGCCCAGCCACAGCCCTCACCCCCCTGCCTTGCCCCGGCTTCTGGCTTTTTGCACCCCAAGCAAAAAAAAAAAAAGGATCCAGAATGCCGCCCCTTGGAAAATGCCACCCCAAGCACACGCTTGGAGCACTGGTGCCTAGAGCCGTCCCTGGAAGTGTCTACACTAAAATTTCACTCCCGCCGATATAACTGCCCCGCTACACAACTTAATAACTTCACCTCCACAAGAGGCATAGAGTCCTGGTCAATGTAGGTAGGTCAACGCAGTGGCAGTGTAGATACTGGGTTACTTACATGGACTGTTACTGGCTTTCAGAAGCCATCCCACAATGCCCCACGCTGGCAGTACAATTGATACAAGCGCTCCCAGTGAGGACATGCACCGCCGACACAAGGATCAAAGTGTAGCAATGCACAAATGATGTAATTACTGCAGCGGCTGTACTGTTAGGTCGACTTAATTTTGCAGTGTAGACATGGCCTAACTGGGAGCCTGCCTGGAACAATTACATGCAAGATCCTTGGCAGCTGCTCCATCCATTTGGCACTAAAGGGATGGAGAGCTGCTTTGACAGGGCAGATGGCAATTCCCTTTGCACAGCAGAATACACAGGGGGTGTAAAGCCAGCACAGCAAGCTGGCCATTGGGAGCTTCTCCAGGAGTGCTAGTTAAATAGCTCTGAGGCTTCAGTTCCCGGTTACCCCCCAGGATCTGGGTGAGCAGGAAGGCACCTATGTCCCCCCTGCTTAGGAGCCAGCGGAGAATCAGGCTCTAACGCTGTAATAAAATATAATATTCTTGCATTATGATTTGTTCCCATTAACACAGACAAGGTCAAACCCTGCTATAAAGCTCTCCGCTTGCAATTGTGTTATAACCCAATTCCCCACAGGGCTGTGCAGAAAGGTTCTAAATGACTGAGATGCAGCAGGGCTGAGTTTGATTCCTGGTGGGGCTGCAGGACCTGTGAGGTCTCCGCAGCCAGTGCTCCTCCATCATTCCTTGCTCAGTATCGTGTGTGGAAGCTTATTCCTCAAGACATTATTGTCTGGGAAAGTGTGCTCACAATTTATTTTTCTTTTAAAATCCACTTCTCAGATGTCACACTCTGAGAATCAGAACATCAGATCATCCCCATCCTTCCCTTACCACCTACCCCTCTCACTTACACACTCCCTCTTTCTCTCTCCCTGCCTAATTTATCAAGACTGTGGCCAGTGACCATCCTTCCAACAGAATAAATCCATCCAGACAAAGTTCACAAGCCACTGGGCATGTCACAAAAACCAGTGAACTGGTGTTACATCAGACTCATGGGTTTATTTTGAGAGAGGGAGTTTTCTTTCTCTGTCAACTTTGCTCTGTATATCATGCCTAGTGTAGTCTTCTCCGGTGCAGCATTTAAGAGAATAGCCCATAGCAAACAGGACTGCTTAATTATTAACTCTGGACCATAATAACCACTGTAGTCAGCTTACTGGATAGCAAGTCATTACCTGGGATGCGGAAAATGGTTTCACAGACGGTAAATGTGAAGGCTGCGTCTTAGTTGTGCAGGAATTCTGGCACTAAGGTGTTCAACAAATGTTTAGATATGTAATGTTAAGGCCAGGGGAACAACATGTCAGGCTTTTAAGCTGGTTCTTTGTCATATCCAGAAACAGGCTCACGCCACAAAATTCAGAGCCAGATCTGGTTTTTGAATTCCCTCAGGATTTAATGTATTCAGAAGAAGGAATGGAGAAATGGGAAGGGGGACAAGTACGGGAGTGGGTTTGGTTTACGCTTGTCTCTAGTTATTTGCTACAAAAAATTCAGAATGAATACAGCCTTTTTTGAAAGAGGATGAGGAAAAACAAAGAAACATTGGGTCAATAAATAGCAAGATGTAGTGGCCTGTGTTGTGATATATAAAATAGCACAGTCTGGAGGCAGGAGGCATTTGTTAAAGAAAACTACAAATTATCAATACAAATAAACAGACTTCCCCATAGCTTTGGTTCCAGCTTTGTCTCCTTGCTTTACCAGGGACTACACCTTTCTGGAACACTGCACAGCACACAGAGATATCTAATGGCTCAAAGATGCAGTTAGTAGGGGTTAAAATGGTGATGGAATATTAGCCTCTAACCACCTACGGGCACTGGACCCAGTAGGTTACAGCCCCAGAACAAAATTATTCAGGAGCTTTGTCTCTCCTTCTTGGTAGCTTACTGAATAGTTTCTAATCTGCTGGGCTGGCCCATTTGACAGTAGATTCTGTGTCTCTACCTCCAATGCTGAAGAGCTATTTTATATCATCTTTATTGCAGGGACTCTTGGAGAATCACAACAGATACCACTGCACCTCCTATAGGAATAGCTGGCTGTGGGAAGGAGTGTTGTGCAGAGGCCTAGTTAACAACACTCCAAATCAGGTTGTTAGATAAAACTGTTATTAAAGTTGAAGGCAAATCAAATGATACAGACTGGATTGTTGAAAAGAACCATGATGAAGGGTCTGCAAAGCTCCGGGGAAAGTCACAGGTTAGCATAATAATAACATGAAAGATTAGAGAAATGGGAGGAAATAAATGGTGGTGGTTAAATTGCCATAATGAGTTTGATTGGTTAATTTTAATGGGAGGTGGTTGCCTCCCCTTGTTGGACATTGTTGACTGAGGAATAACTGAACTCTTGGACTCGAAGGAGCAAGCTTCACCCTCATAGCTGCTGCCACTCCACTGTCTCCTGGGATCCACCATGACACCACTGAGCCGTCATCATCCTGATCCTGAAAAACATCCTGACCAGACAGAAGGAACCCAATGACATCACCACTTCCACCATCTTCAGCTAAATCCTGAACAAAAGGGGAGAGAAGAGACCAGCAAAGAAAGAAAATGTCTCTGGTGAGACTTAGCTTCCTGCTGTCACTCCTTCCCCCATGTGTCATTTTCCTTCCCACTTTATTTCTCCTCTTTCCTGTCTCTCTCCATTTGTCTCCTGTCTAATAAGAATGTGGCTTAGCCGTCCAAGACAGCTCCACCTTTTGCAACACTGCTTAGGGTCGGCGAGTTGTATGGGCCCATGTGGCCGGGCCCCAGGAATATTCAGGGCCCAGGGGCCCGGCTCCACCAATGCTCTCCCCCAGCCCTGCCTGCTGCCCCCGCGTGCCTTCCCCGGACCCTGGAGTGTCCCTGCCTCAAGCGAGCGGCTGCCCTGCCATTCCACGCTGTG